TCCAACATCACATAGGAATAAGTGGGAGAATGAGAGTCAGAGTTCAAATCCACAAAGCTCTAAATTTGCCTTCTTTCCCAAAGCAGAATCCAAACTCCTTACTTTAAGCTGAATTTCTTTGTTTCCAATTCTAAAACACAGCCACAGCCACTGGAGGTATTATCTGTGGAACTCACCTGTTCTCCTCAGGGGGAACTGACTCCATGCTACCAATCGTACTGGTTCTGGGTGAGCACACAGGAAGGTCATACTTTCCAGCCTCCCTGGAAAATAGGCTAGGTCTCCAGAACTGAGTTCCAGCCTGTGGATCATGGGTCCCTTCCAGGCCTCTCAGAAGACATCTCACAAGCTGTCCACACAAGCACGGCTCCTTCTGTGTCCAAGAATGCCATGTAATTAAGGTGGCAGCAACACAGTTTAGAAGAGACCTGGATTTCTGAGCCTTCTTTTGGAGAAGAGCTTCCCAGAAAAGCTACCCAGTCTGCAACAAACCATTACAGGTGTGTGGAATAACCCTTGACTGTGAAAAGTCACTAAGATTTGGAGGCTGATCTTTTAGCAGCTAAGATTCTTTATTCTGACAAAAATATTATCCTATAGTAATAACATGGAAACACTCATGAATGGCTTATAGTTCCATTTTACAAATTCCACAAAAATATTCCAAATCTCATCATCACCAAGAAGTTTGAATTCAGGAACCACTAAGCCAAGACTCTCTTAGTTAACTAACCAAACAAACAACGATCCAACAACTCACCTGCACCACATCCAAGGACTCTCACCGCTTCCCCTGCAATAAACTCTTTTTATTTTTCTGGAGTACTTACTTCTAAGACAATCACTTTATTCATGTCATCCCATCTTACCCGACCCTTTGGTGCTTTATCTTAGAAAACCATTTTAGAAAACCTTCCTTTTAGAAGCCTTCCGATTCCGAAACCACAGCATGTGTGAGTGGGAGAAGCGTGCCAGTTTATTCCAACTGCTCACAGGATACAGAGGTTGAAGATGCCTTCCAGTTAATCAATTACAACCCATATGGGGCTGTTTTAATCAGCGCTTCAAGATGCACCTGGAAACAATTAACTTTCGTAGGTAACAATAGCAAGAATAGAGCAAGTATTCCTGTGCTGTTGCAAATGGCACCTTCATTTTATATCATCTGAGATTCTCAGGTGTCTCCCAAGAGCAAGGCCCCGTAGCACCTTCCAAGAGGAAATGATGACTACTTTGGTCTTCGCATCCGAGTGATCATGGTACAAAACTGATAACCACTGCATGGTGGTCAGTGGGACTTAAATTCCTACTGGATAATGCCTTAGGATATGACGTACACACAGTCTAAATCTGACATAGAGATGTTCATCCACTTAAAATATTTTTAAAGCAAGTTTGGCAAAATGCAAGGCTGGGATGTGACAGTTCTGTGACAGATCTCTCAAACAGAAAAGATAACAACGGGGACTTTACATCACTTATGGCACAAAAATTAGTAACGGGCTGAGCGATCTGAAGACTCAATTCTGGGTTTAATGTTCTCATATTTTTAAGTTATTAAGTGAATATTGAGATTTATCTATTTTTTGTCTTAGGGTACACAGAGACAGAGGGAGAAAACTTTTTCGGTAAGAGTATTTGAAAATAAAGAATGGCATTTCAACCTGGATATACTGTAGATGACGGGTATGTGGGGAAAGAGGGAGAACACACAGGCATATAGCACACTGCCCCAGCGAAGCATGGCTCAGGAACTTTTAAAACTAGGGTGTAGGTTTGCGACATATACAGCCTTCCCTTACTGAAAAGACGCTCCTTCAGTTAAAGCAATGTTTCCCAAAGAGGGGTCCAAAGACACCCTAAAAGAGAGCAACCTGGGATATTATATACAAATCAGATTCCTCAGGCTAATCTCCAAGCAAATGACTCAGAATGTCTGGGACCTTGGCATCTAAGATTTTAACAATCACCAGGTGACTCAGAATCATGAGCATTTAGAGATCAAGTGGGAGAAATATAAGACATCAAAGGCAGAAAGAATTTTTCTGCACGAGAACCCAGAGAAGTCAACCCTCCACAGAAGTGATATTTTTTCACAATTAAGATTTTAAAGATGAGAATATGTAAGAATTAAATGTGTCTGTCTATATAAAAGAGATCAGATGAAAGGGTAATGTGAGGAAATCATTCTGCATCCAACAGAGATGAATTTGAGATCTACGTTTTTATTCTACTAAACAGAAATAAAGATCATAAGATGTATAAGGTAATAATGAGATAGACAGGTATTACAATGCCCACTGTGCTTAGCAACTAGCTTAGGAAAATACCTTTTGTTCTTTATTTTATATTCTTCTCTACCCTTAGCTTTCTTCTGTTTTTAAAAACAAAGACTCCATAGCAGTTAAAGGGGAAATGTTCTGAAGCAGCTATAGAAAAACAGTTTTTTCTCCCTCAAATAGCCAGCACAATCCATCCAGAACTTCACAGTGGGAAGTTAAATTCTGAAAGCTGTTGGGTGAGAATTTCCTGTTACATCTTTCAATTATCATCTGTTTCCCAATCTACTGCATCCAGTTCCTCCACCATGGCTAGAGCCTGTGCAAGTGCCACTGGAAATAGATGTAACTTGAGCAATCAAAACCACATTTTCAAAGGGAAAAGATGAGATTTGTAGACCACAGGGAAGTTTCAGTACATCTGAACACCAATGAAGGTATGAGAGCAAGACGGAAACTCCCAAATGAAAGTACCGCATGAACCTTGGTTATCTGTATGTGAAACAGACTGCAGCTGCTCAACACGATCCATGATGGCAAATGTTGCCATGCCAAATTGTCTTCATGGCATTCTAAGGCATAGTTTGAGAGAAACACACAGAAAATATTAGTACAGAAATAAGAATATAGTGCCTTTACAAAGAAAGTGACCCTACCATTCAGCTGTGAGCCCATGAGGGCAGGCACATTGCTTAAATTCCCATGAAATTCTCCAGTGCCTCACACACTCCTTAACTCTTGTAGGTATGCATCAACACCTAAATAAATTAATTCATTTTGAGAAGATCAAAAATTAAAAATCACTACCAATAAGATGGGCTTTCCCAAAACTATCAGAAGAAACTCCAACGCACAGCCTGTCATTGCACTGAGTCTTACCAAGTTACTAAGTATCTTTCAAAACCCACCTTGCCCCACCTCTGCCACCCTCACCTTAATCTCAACCACCATCAGCTCTTTCCTAGACAACTACAAGGTCCCTTTAAAGCATCTCCACTCATTGACAAGCTCACCTTCAATCTCCTGTTCATATTTCAACCACATTCATCTTTTTCAACCGCAAATCAGATCTTGTCACATACACACTCACATACCGCCACCCACACATGCACACAAGCCAGTTTAAACCATTTCAGTAATTCCCTTACCCTTAGAATCAAGACAAAAACTCTTACTCTGACCACCAAGACCTGCATGGTCTGGCTGCTATCTGCTCCCACATGGTAGGCTCTAGCCACATTGGTCTGCTCTCCAGCTCTCTGGGAGCCCCAAGCCACTTCTGCCACAGGGCTTTGCTAATTTCTGTGCTCTCCACTGGAATCCTTCTGCCCCTCCCCACTTCTTGTGTCTTTCTTTCTTTTTACAATTACAAATCTTTCAGATCTCAGTTCACATATGACTTCTTCAAGGAGCCTCTGTCAGCATCTGTGTCCAGACAACTTTCCCTGCTGTTTACTCTTAAGTCACCTTAAACCTCTCCCTGGCAGCACTTGGGAAAGTCTTTATTTTCCAGTCATTTGTGTGATTATTTGACTAAAATCTATCTTCTTACTACACTGAATACTCTTTGAGGGCAGGGATTCTATAATAAATTTTTACTCACAACTGTATTCATCGTCTAGGATAGTGCTTGGCATTATAGTTGGTTCTCAAGAAATATTTCTGAGATCCATGAATCAATTAGAGGACTGATGATTTACAGGTATCCCACATATCTTGTGGGTTCCATCTTCCTAGCCCAAGGGGCTTTGGTGGCATTGTTGCTGTTTTCTTTTTACATCATGGAATCTTCCTCTTTTGTCAAATGATGTACATTTAAATGATTTAACCAAGTTAGTAATGACACATAAAAAGTCAGATTCAGACTTTTGCTGGAACCAGAAATCCAAAGTATTCCCAAGCAAAGGGACCCGAGTAAGGACTTTCCAATAACGACATCCACAATGTTTTGGGGTCTTAAGAAAGCTTTCAGGTATTGAAGCTAAAGCAACTGGCTCCAGAATAGTTACAATAGAATCTGATTTCATAATGCTCAGGAAACCAAGTATTACATTGCATGTCAACAACAGGATAATATCAGTGGAAATAATTGGTATCTGCATGGGGCTTAAATAAGAAAATTCAATACTGAGACCCAGCTCACGAGCAGAATGCTCACTGATTGAGCCTCACTTCTGCGATGAACTGTACCAAGCACAGGCAGAACATTTCAGAAAGGCTGGGCATGGTGGCTCATGCCTGTGATCTCAGCATTTTGGGAGGCCAAGGTAGAAGGAGCACTTGAAGCCAGGACAAGTCTGAGCAACAAAGTGAGACCCATGTCTCTATAAAAATAAATCAAATAAATAAGAGGTTTTTTTAGAAAGCAAAGTTTCCAAAGGCATTTTTCTCTCTCTCTTTTTTTAAATAAAATGCTCTTCTCAATCTCATGAACCCAGGCACATGACACTGAACAGAATATTTGGATCCATTAAAGAGTAATTCAGCAGATTTTTTTAAACTTCTAACAATCTACTGAAATGTTAATCTTTAATAAATACTTAAATAAAAAATTAACATATATATAGAGAGAGAGACAGAGAGAACTTGGGAGTTTACTCTGTACACAAACATTGTAAGATTGACAAATTTGTGTTACTGTGTTCGCAATTACACACATGAAAACTCTAAGGCTCAGTCACATAGCTTGCTAAGTGGCCCAAATAGAATTCAAATCTATCTCAAAATCCCAGGACACCACCATCCCCACAGCCCCTGTCAAAAGAGAAAATTGTGCTGATCAGTTTTTGCAACATGGTATGTTAAATATTTTACTTGCAATCTAAAATATATTAAAGTGATCCATTTCTATCACCCAGATTTTTCATTTAAGGCATTTTTCAAAAATTTTTTCTAAAAGAAAGTCTTGAGCAGATTTTAGAATTTTATTCCACACTGAGACAAAGGATAAAATATCTTCTGAGTTCCAGGCACGTTCCTTGCTATTTCACTCACACAGAGGTCTGCTCTTAATTTTTTTTTCTTCTCTTTCATTCAAAAAGCAATTCCACTACCAACCTAAGGTTAGCTACACTAATCTAATGTCAACTCCATTATTGTTAATTATTTTATGGTGGTTATATTTTAAGAGAAGGGGTACAAAGATCCCTCATGTCATTTGATAGCCCACCAAGAATTATATTGAAATAACTACATTGATTTCCAGATCTCAGCAAGCAACTAGGACATAATTAAACTTTTATCTCTGCAAATTTTGCTGTCTTTTTTTTTTAACCTGGTTACCTATTGTTCGGCAGGCTAATCTTATTTTGCTTCTCAGGTGGGCCTAAAATTTCATTCAATGCTCAAGAAATAAATTAAAATGAAACACATATAATATCTGGTCATTTCTCAAATAAGAGTTTCCATTGGCATATTTTCTGTGGCTTCCCTTTTTTCCTATTTCTTATTTGACTTTAATAAAGCTATGCTCTATTGAAGTTAAATAAAAGTACTCCTCTGAGCACCTGGAGTTAAATTAAAATAGCTATAAGTCTAAAGAAGCAGCCATTTAAAGATTCTACTTGACCTACCTTAGAAGAGATAACCTGTAGCTATAGAGAAAGTAGGCTCCACCGGGACCCGAGCTGTGCAACTGGCTTCAAGCTCCTGGGCTCTCCCCTCCCATGCACATCTGTCACCTCACCTTGCCCCTACCTCACCCCTTGCTATAGGCCTTAAACTTGTGAGTAGGAAACTTTCTCTAGACTTCTAGAAAGTTTTCCTTCCATCATCTTTTTTAAAAAATTAGCAAGCGAAGGAGCAGTATGGCGTAGTAGGAAGGGGGAAAGAAAGCGCCCCAGGCTGAAAATAAACTTGAATTCATGTTCACATTAATTACCTTTGTCAAGCTGGGCGAGCCTTTTTATGTTCTCTGTGCCTCAGTTTCCTCATCTAAAAATGTAAGGAACTAGATTAGATCCAGGGCTGGCATTAGGGTAGAGTGAGTCAGGAGTTTACCTGTGATGTTAAATTTATAAGGGTACCCACAATCAAAATTTATGTAAAACAAAATCCATGATAGATAAAATATCAAAATTTAAATAGGGACAGTCTCAACTTGGCTGATTTTCCTTTGGTCTCAGCATAACTCTGTCATGAACCCTGATTCAGATTCATCTCCCTCTAATACCCCGTGACACGGGTTCTAGCCTCCACCGGCATCTTGGAGGTAGCAGAACCCCACCTCTCCCTAAACCTTGCAAAGTGCAGTCCAGCCCAGCACAGCCCCATATGGATATTTTCATGATAACCTGTAAGAATGACTGATGGGCTCCTTCCTTTTAACTCTCTTCCTCTCTTCCCAGGGAGACAGTGACTTCATACTGCTTCATATCGGAGATTCTGCAGGCAATCAAGATTGAAATCACAGTCTCATTTCCGTAAGAGCTTTGGAAGGACACAGATTTCCAGCAAGCTGCCCCACACCATCGTGGACGCTGACTTGCATTGACTTCATTAAACTGCACAGCAGACTGAAGCCTGCGCAGCCGACACGATCAAAGATTTTCTGACGGCATCCTCTCCCTGCCCCAGGATACTCCTATCCCTCTCCTCCTTTTCCTCCCATCAGATCATCTGGGAAATCCCCCACTTACTGCCTTTGAGAAGAGGTAGCACATAATAAAAGGAGGATAATCACAAAGGCAAACTCCATTGACTTTCGAAGGCAAAATTTCCAGTCCTCTGAGGGTAAAACAAAGTTCCTCCTTTTATTCCCGAGAACTCAGGAGAAGTAAAATACCAGAGTAGGGACAGCTGTGAGGGACTCAAAGTGAGTAAGAGGACCTCATAGAGATCCTGAGCTCCAAGGAGGTACAAGAAAGTGGCAGGAGACCTTAGAATGTCCTGAGGCTGGCAAGGGAGCAGTGGCATGATTTCCATGATCCTCTCCGTATAAGAGGTCTCAGAATTAGACAAGTTGAATTATTTGAAAAGATAGAGAAAGCCACATCTCTCATACAACCAAGTTCCTGGCCCACTGGGATGGCTAATACTGAGTGTCAACTTGATTGGATTAAAGGGTGCAAAGTATTGATCCTGGGTGTGTCTGTGAGGGTGCTGCCAAGGAGATGAACACTTGAGTCCGTGGGCTGGGGAAGGCAGACCCACCCTCAATCTGGGTGGGCACCATCTAACCAGCTGCCAGCACAGCCAGAATATAAAGCAGGAAGAAAAACGTGAAAAGGCTAGACTGGCCTAGCTTCCCAGTCTACATCTTTCTCCCGTGCTGGATGCTTCCTGCCCTCGAACGTCAGACACCAAGTGCTTCAGTTTTGGGACTCGGATAGGCTTCCGTCTCTTCAGTTTGCAGATGACCTATCATGGGACCTTGTGATCCTGTGAGTTTAATACTCCTTAATAAACTCCCCTTTATATATATACTTTTATATATACATTATATATATATATTTAAAATATATATAAATTTACTTATATATATCTTATTAGTTAAGTCCATCTAGAGAACCCTAATACACCCACACTCAGTTTCTTCCTTGGGTGCTCTACCTAAGAACCTTGCCTACATAGCACAGTGCAACATAGGAGTCCAGGATTATCTGGTTAGAGTGTATGAGACAGTCTGGATGTGGGCGAGGCCCGAGAAGGCCCATCAGGGATGCTGAGGCCCTATTAAGCCTCATCTCACATCTAGGCCAACGCACCTTCACTATTCTCCTACAGAGGCAACGTTCATAAATCTGAAGATGTAACCTTTTTCCAGAAACTATAGTCACTTAGATAATCTGATCTGCTCACTCTATTGCTCCAGTGTAGCTCATGACCTGTGATTTATAAGGACTTCAATGTTCTTCTTTCATATTTAAAAACCCTTATGCAAATCGTGCCAGCAGCACAGCCAACGAAAGTTTTTTGCATTAATGCTCCATATTATTCACATACAAAAATTCCATTTAAATCTCATTAAGCTGGGGACATAAATCCAAACAAACTAGAAAATGCCCTGTTAAGGTGGAAAAGTGACATATGTCTTCTAATCCCCTGACAAAACAATGAGGAATGAAAAAAATGATGAAGGTACTACCCATTTGGGACAGCATACCAATGGACACATATGTTACCTTTCTGCCTTTAACTATTCACGGCCTTCCTGCTTTCATCTCAATAGCATTTAAATGAAGTATTTGTCAGCAACTATTTCTGGTAATGTGACGTATGTGATTCAGGGAGGTTGTGAGCCGAGTTTCTGGAAACTTAGCAGTATCCGGGGAAAATTATAAAAGGTCTGCCTGCTAATGGCATTTTTTTGATTTCCCTCTAGGCATTTCTTGGGGTTCGAGATATAATTTATCTGTCATGTAGTATTAACAATATACTTTTCAGGGTCTTAAAGATTAGTGGGGCCCCTGGGCTGCCTGTCTCAACTTGCTGAGCAGTGAACGTCCTTCACATTGTCATGCCTCATCCCTAATCCGGCTTTTCCTTTAAGACAATTATAGTATCAGAGGGTTACATGGGCCTTACAACAGCGCCCTACCCTCTTTATGACCATTGCTAATTGCCAATTAGTCAAAATTTTAATTCTATAATGTGTTTAGGTTAGCAGTGTGGTGAGTTGGGAGGAGCAGCTTTGGCCTTTGGCAACGCAAATCTGAGTTTATCTCCCCTCTGCATGTGAACAAGCACAAGTTCAGGTGGAACTCCGGGTGACAGAATTACAGTATCATCATCACTTACGGAGGTTCCACAAAGAAAGAAATGAATTCTGGGAAAGCATTCAGCAGCTGCAGGACTCCCTCAGAAGGCTTAATGAAAGTATCTTAAAAAGTATGAAAGCCTGGCCTGTTTCAGAGTAAAATGAAGTGGCTAGCCTATGCATACAGACTTCCAGCCACTCTCCTCGAGCCTTCAGGGACTCCATCAGAAAAGGGGACATGTCTGCTTCCAGGCTCCAGGGGCTCAGTTCTGTTGCCTGTGGTTGTCAAGGGTAAGACACGTGCATGGGACTCTGTCTTTATTCATTTTAGAGAAAGACAATGAAAGAAACACAGGGAGAGAAATGGAGAAATGGAGAGAGTGGTTAGAAAAGGCTATTTGGTCAAAGACACAAGTCCCACACACCCACTGCCTGGAAGGCATTTACCCCGCTCACCTAATCTCAACTCAAGCAAGGCTTCCCTGGGGCACGCTTCCCCACTCCCCACACCACAGCCGAGGTAGAGCCCTCCTGGGACACATCACTGGGGCAGTGTGCAATGTCACTTTACAGCGCTTCTCAGTTTGTCATTGTGAAGGCAGAGCAGTGAGGTGGGTAGGAACACGACCTCTGCAGCCACCCTGCCAGGGTTTGGATCTCAACTCTGCCACATGCTGCCTGATCCTGGGCAAGAAACTTACCCTTTGGTCCACAGTTACTTCAGTAACATGTGAGTTACACATAGGAGACACATTGTTACAAATGCCTAGCCCATAGGATTCAGTAAGTGTTACATGTTTTCATTATTATTTTATATACACAATTATCCCTCTTTCCCCTAGACTAAGAGCCAGTGAAGTTAGGGACTCTGTTTTGCTCACCTGTAAACTAGCACAGGGCTTGGTTGAATCCATATTGATGGAATCAGTATTGATGGATATACATATCCCAGTGATCTGAAAGCATTCTTGTAATTATTAAAAATGCATAATTTCAGATGTATCCACATGATGCTATATTTTTAATTTAAAAAAAGTTATCGAGGTATAGTTGACATAAAAACTGTACATATTTAAAATGTGCAATTTGATAAGCTCTGACATATGTACACATCCACAAAGTCATCACCACATTAAGACAGAGAACCCTTTGTAATCCCTTGTCCTAGTGCCCCCACCCCACCCCGGGCAACCACTGATTAGCTTTCTGTCACGATGGATTCGTTTCTATTATCTAGAATTTTATGTAAGTGGACTCACGCAGTATGTAATCATTCTTGTCTGGCTTCTTTCGTTCAGGCTATTTATTTTGAGTTTCATGTATGCTATTAGGTGTAGCAATATTTTGTTCCTTTCTACCTCTGAGTGGCATTATACTGTATGGATATACCATAGTTTGTTTATATATTTATTTGTTGATAGACATTTATGCCGTTTCTAGGATTTGGCTATTATTTAACAAGACTGCTAAGAATGATCATGGACTTGCCTTTGTATGAATATAAGTTTTCTTTTCTCTTCACTACTAAATACTTAGTAGTGAAATGGTTGGACCATATAAAAGGTTCAGGTTTAATTTGTTTAAAACAACCAGACTGCTTTCCAAAGTGATTGTAACATCTTACATTTCCCCTAGCGGTATATGAGATCTCCAGTTCCTCTGCATCTTTGGTAATACTTGACGTAGTCAGTCCATTTAATTTTTCATTCTAACAGGTATGAAGCAGTATCTCACTGTAGCTTTTCTTTTCATTTCTCTAGTGACTAACTGATGTTGAACATCTTTTCCACATGCTTATTTGTCATCTGTTTATGCTCTTATTGTTGAGTTTTGAGAGTTTTTTATGTAGTCTGCTTAGAGGTTCTTTATCAGATATGTGTTTTGCAAATATTTGCTCCCAGTCTGTGATTTCTCTTTCCATATTCTTATATAAGAGCCAATTTTTTTAATTTTAATGAAATTTAGTTTATGAATCAATTTTTAATGAATCAAGCTTTTAGTGATATATCTAAGACATTTTTGACTAACTCAAGATCACAAAGATTTCCACCTGTTTTCCTCCAGAAGTTTTATAATTTTGGGTTCTACATTTAGGTATATGTTTTATTTTGAAGAGTTTTTATTGGTAGAATATGTCTTAAAGTTCACTAATCTTGGTGATATGGTTCATCTGTGTCCCCACCCAAATCTCATCTTGAATTGTAGCTCCCACAATTCCCACATGTCATGGGAGGGATCTAGTTGGGGGGTGATTGAATTATGAGGGCAGGTCTTTCCTGTGCTGTTCTCATGATAGTGAATGAGTCTCCCAAAATCTGATGGTTTTAAAAACAGGAGCTTCCCTGTGCAAGCTCTCTCTTTGCCTGTCGCCATCCATGTAAGATGTGGCTTGCTCCTCCTTGCCTTCTGCCATGATTGTAAGGCCTTCCCAGCTAGGTGGAACTGTAAGCCAGTTAAACCTCTTTTCCTTCCCAGTTTCAGATATGTCTTTACCAGCAGCATGAAAATGGACTAATATGCTTTGTTTCTCATTTTCTCTACCATGTTAAGCTATGTTTGTATAATGTGAGGGTAAATTAACAAGAGTTTCAGGAATGCAAGGAATCAAAAACATGACTTCCCTCATATTTCTGTTTAAGATATTATCACTAAACATGGAACCTTAGAAAGTGAGCCAACACAGGAA